GGGAGAGGTTTAAAGACTGTTTTATTGACGTACAACTTCTCTGTGTGTACTCATCTCTCATATATCAAGCTGTTGGTCAGTCAACAACTCGCCGTTGCCTTCTAAAAAAATTCCAAACTCCTTAACCTGACATTCCAAGGCTCTCCATGATCTGGTGCTAAAGTCGAATCTGGAATTCCAACCCCAGCACTGCCACTTATTCACCCTGAGCAGGAACTTCATTGTTTGGTGTGTTTCTTCATCTGTAAAACTGGGATTTTTACATGCATAGATCACAGGGATGTTATGGAAAGTAAAACGGCATCCATTACTCAGTATTATTCCTGGTGTACAGTAAATGTCAACTAAATGCAAAGTTCCTTCCCAATAGTTCAACACCCTCCATCACATTTGGAGAAGAGAGGTCCCTTCAGAGAACAGTTTGTGAGATGCTAGGGAGGAGGGAAAGATTCCTTTATAAAGGAATATCCTGAAGACTGATGTGTTTGGTCAGGGACCAGAGTGATGAGTTAAATCTCTGTATCATGTGCTTGTTTTTGTCTTTTACTGCACATCCCAAGTACAGCTACACAGCAATCAGGCAGCTAACCAAGGCCGTGCCAAGGTGTCTGCTGAGAAAGGAACTCTGAGACATGCTTGACTGAGTTTTAAACAAGCCAACCCTCCCCTAAGTCTCACACTTCACACCATCGATGAACATTCACTTCTTCTCAGAACACTGGCCCCATATTAGGACTATTCTCACCCCTTCTCCACTTTCTCAAATGAGAAAAATTCTTTTATCCTAATTTCTCCTAAGTTCCACTCCGGTAAGGCATCTCCCCCACATCCAGGCCAACCGAGAGTCCCGGAAAGAACCGACCCCCTCCTCTTCCATAACTGTTCCCCTCCTGACAGAAAAGTCAGTCCACTGCTAATCGTAACTCCTTCCCTGTATCTCTCACACACATATACACTCATATTCTATAGTCAACTGGGAAACCAAACTAACAGAACTAAATAGTCATCAGAGACCAATCAATACCATTGATTGGAACAGCATTTCACTGAAGGTGAGGTGCCAGGAAGCCATAGAGATCCTCCTCCCCTCCTCCTAAAAGTACACACACTGGCTGCCCCCCCCCAATCTCTGGGATTCCACTGCATGGGTATCAATAGTCCATAAGTATCAACCCCTGTCCAACTAGAGCCCACAGTTGGGGAGAAGCTACAGCTGCTAAAATGTCACCCACTGGCTCAGGATTGAAGAAAACTAGGCTCTTTCACACCTGTGAGCCCTTATCCTGTAGGTAGGGTGCCCCCTGACCCAGTAAGCCAAATGCATCCCTATCCGCACCATACCATGCAAACAGCCCAAGAGCTCACATGCAGAGTGGGTGGTTCCCAATGTCCAAGCATGAACTCCCTATAGTTGTTCCATCTCTCCCATCCAAGTCACAGCACTGACCCCTCATAATGGCAGTGAAAATAACTTAAGTGACTCAGGGTTCCAAGCTTTCTGTTTGGTCCTTTACACACATGTTCATCATTCTTTCCTATGTGTTATTATTTCCATTTTATATATGAATAAACTGAGGCTAACAGAACCCAAGATAATACAGTCAATAAAGAGGATTTGAATCGAGGTCCATTTAGCTCAAAGACCCTGACTTTCTACTCAAGAGTCAACATTTAGAGTTGTGCTCTTATTATATATTCTAAATATACCTGTCTGTGTTTGGGTATTTGTCTTCCCAAGGACAGCGTTTGTGCCTTAACTAGTTTCCTACAGCTCCCAGCACAGTGTCATGTTTGGATGTAGTGTTGACAGTGGTAACAGACCAGGTTGCCTTCCAAATCATTGCCAGGGCTCTCTTCCATCAGAGTCCCACTGAGACCTAACCCAAACCAAACCAGTTACTGCATTCATCATAAATGGTGCCTTTTCTACAACAGTTAACATACCATATGTCACAACAGGAGTTAAGACCATGATGAAGACATGAGAGGAAGTAGAAGGGAAGCCAGACCAGGAGACATGCAGAGAGGTTAGACAAAGAGTCACTTTTTCTATGATCTCACTCTTCACCTGGGAAAAGATTACACCACTAAACCTCTCCCTAGGAGGCTTCCCCTGGTTTCCAAGCCCGGCTAAGTCCCTGACCCAGGTGAATCTTATGATTCTCGCCACTACTTTGGGGGGTTCCTTAAAGCCACGGCAAACAAAATTGTCCCTCACAGAAGCCAGCTCTCCATGCCCTTCCCTGAACTCTCCCACGTTCTAATCCAGGTTCCAGAGCTTGGACAAGGTAGAGAAATCAGTTCCCAAGGGCAACTAAATTCCACTGCTTCAAACCCAACTTCACTTGGGTCGGCTTAGCAGTGGTTCTCAACCTTCTGGCCCTTTACAGTTCCTCATGTTGTGACCCAACCATAAAATTATTTTCGTTGCTACTTCATAACTGTAATGTTGCTACTGTTATGAATCGTAATGTAAATATCTGACATGCAGGATGGTCTTAGGAGACCCCTGTGAAAGGGTCATTCGACCGCCAAAGGGGTCGCGACCCACAGGTTGAGAACCACTGGCTTAGAGTCAAGAAGGAGCCAGGGCCAAGTGGCCTTTGTAGCTAACATATTCACAACAATCGTCATGCCTTACACTCCTGTAACTCTTCAACTTTTCTAAGGGCTTTCCAGTAGCATCTCACCATCTCTTAGCCTCGCTGCAAAACCTGAAGTGAATGACAACGTACCTAGACAGAGAGGAACTCCTTGGAGTTGTTTTGTCCCTCTCCACCAGCCTCAGCACCTTCGGAAACCAAAACGCTTTCAGCAGAAGAAGAGCAGAAATGTGATCTTCCCAGCACAAAGCCACAGAATCACTTAGCCTATGAGATGGATGGGGCCTTAGCAGCAATCTAATAAGATATCTCTCATCCTTAGCAGGGGTGCCCTCTACACTAGCACTGTCCAATAGAATTTTCTGTGGTGACAGAAATGCACATATCTGCTCTGTCCAATACATCTCTATTTATTTAAGAAGAATGCAAATGTATAATGTATATCAGCCTAATTTCTGTTGGTGTTATTTAGAGATCTTTGGTCACATTGTTTGTTAAGGAGAAACATCTGTGACACATAACTATTAATTCATCAGACATTTATTGTGAACACCTTCTTTCCAGTCACAATGCTAGGCAGAGCATTATCTCACAGGGGAGACAACATTCACCACTTCGATATGTACTGAGTCCCTCTGAGGCAGGAAAAGTGCCTATCTTTATAGAACTTACATGCCAGTAACAGGAAGCTTTCAATAATTGTGTGTGCAAAATAAAAATATCATTTTAGAGAGTGCAAGCCTAAAAGAATATACAAGCAGTAGGATAGAGGATGACAGGTGGGGTGGGGGATGTGCCACTTTGGATAGGCCACTTTAAAGAAATGACATTTGAGCTAAGGTCTGAATGTTGGGAAGGAAGCAATGAGAGGATGAGAGAAGATACTGCAGGTGGAGGGAACAACGTATGCAAAGGCCCTGAGATGGGAACAAGCTTGGCATGTTTTAAGAACAGAAGACTGGTTAGGCTGGAGTGAAGTGAAAAAGTAGGAAGTGGTAGGAGAAGAGGTCTCAGAAAAAGGCAGGTTCAAACTATGTACAACTTTAGGGCCAAGGTAGAAAGTGTGCGGGATATTCCTGGTACAATGAGAAAGCAAAGGAGTTTTAAGCATGAGAGATATGTATGATCAGGTTTACGAATGTAAACACGTACAATTATGGATAGGATATTTACAACACAGGAAGATGACTACAAAGAAAGATTACAAAGTATTATGAGAACTATGCTAATAAAGAAACCTGCACTGTAGGAAGGGGGCAAAACACTAAGCCTCTTGGGGCGATGGCATTCAGCCATAACCGCAAATGCAAAGGTGTGGATATGTGAAAGGACACACATGAAACATGATGGCACGATGGAAGGGACCACAGGTGGTCAGCATGGAGAACAGTAGGGTTCCAACCATGCAAGGGAGAGCCTTCCTTATATACCAGCCTCAGGAACTGAATTTATTTTGCAGACTACTGGTTCTTAACTTGGCTCTTAAAAATACTGGAACCCAAACCTATGCCGGACGAATTAGGTTAGAACTTCTGAGGTGGCAGGGCAGGCAGCAGTATATTTAAAATGCATGACCAGGGTTAAGAAACTCCACTGTAGATGATGACTGAGGGGCACCAAAGGATCTGAGACAAGAAGTAACAATTATTTATTTTCCAAAACAAATCTGTTTTTCTAAAGATATTTTAGAACACAGTATTTTTAAAGTATAATATATTCAGGCAATGGTAACAAATGAATTACGTACATTTGCAATTAAAAGCTCTGCACATTGTTGCAAATAGTCACAAGTCTCCATTCCTCCTGACCTCTGGCTCTTATGACAGTTTATAAGAAATCTGGAAACTTCAAAGAGAAGAAACTATCAGCAATACAGAATTGATGAATTTTAGAGTCAGAAGGTACTCCAGAGACCCCCCCTTATTTTGCAAGTATTTTTTTAAAATATATTTTATTGATTTTTTACAGAGAGGGAGGGAGAGGGATAGAGAGTTAGAAACATCGATCAGCTGCCTCCTGCACGCCCCCGACTGGGGATGTGCCCACAACCAAGGTACATGCCCTTGACCGGAATCGAACCTGGGACCCTTCAGTCTGCAGGCCAATGCTCTATCCACTAAGTCAAACCGGTTAGGGCTTGCAAGTATTTTTAAAGAGAGGCCCAGAGAGATGCCATGGAAAGGCCAAGGTTACTGGAATTAGCAGCAAAGACAGACTGGAACCCACAAGCTCTTCCTGCCACACTGTGCGGCTGCTTGTTTATTACTCAAATAAGAATCCTAATTTCTGGACTTGGCACTTTTCACAATATTAAGTAGATTGCAAAAGAGCAATGAACGTTAGAAGAGAAATGTAAAAGAGGAAAAGGATCAAAAATAAGAGTCCAAACTAATCAAAGACAGTTTTTGGCAAATAGAACTTTATTTTTCAGGTTTTCCCCTTAGTTAATGGCCTCCAATGTGACTGTTTCTTCTGATGCTTTATTCTGATATTTCCATAGGCGTCTGTAAACTGAGACTTCGTTCAAAGTCAGACAAGTTTTCTACGGGTTAGTAATTTTTGTTCAAGGCACATATTTCAAGATGTAGACCCACATCCCTCTCTGGCCTCCTGAAGGTAGAAGAGTTTGAAGAAAGAGGCACAGAAGACCGGTCCTCTCCCCATGCTGCAGGCCCGTGTGCAAGACAGGACCCCTGGCTCTATGCTAGAAGCGAGCACCTGAGGATCCTTTGAGTCTATATTTGGAAATACCACTCCAACACCGAAGGCTGAAATATGCTGCATAGTCTACAGATGTGCCAGGCAGCTGTAGCAGCAGTGCCCTCTGCATTTGTACTACCGCCTTGGAGCTTGAGAGCCAAGATTCAGTCAGCAGCACTAGCCAACCATGTGTTTCTTCTGCATTTCTGGGTGAAGTGTTCCACTGTACTTTCCTCTGGACAAATGGGGCAGAGGGCACTGAGATTTTAAATGCCAGTGGAGTTTATCTGAAACAGGAGTAAGGGATTTCTCAGCCAGAGTCACTGTCCAATCTGGATGCAGCAACTGTACACTTAAGTTCTGCAGTGAATCCAGAAGACAGTGCTTCCTGCTGCTCAGAACAACCACAGAAGAGACTGGACTCGAGCCAGACTGTGTGTCAGCTAGGAAAGCTACGACCATCCCCAGCAGGGGCAGATGTTGCAACTAAGTCTTCAGAAATAGGAGCTTGGCCAAGACTTGGGCGTGCAGAGATGGAAACAAGTCCTCAGGCATTAAAAAATCAGTCAGGTGGCCCAGGAACAAGACTATGTACGGAGAAGCTTAGAAGGAGGAGCCCAGAGCTTGGAAGTTGGCTGAGAGCCAGCCTGTAAGTAAAAAATATGAGGCCCATGGTCAAGGTCAACCCAGCCCACAGGTGATCACTTCTGACTTAAAGGGGCCAAGCTCATCAAGACAGTCACTGGTATGTCTTCTACAGCCAAAATCCTCTGAAATTGTCTTAGGATCTTCTCAAATAGATCCAGAACTCTACCAATGTCTGGAATAGAGATAAGGGCTCCAGAACTGAGTTATCTTCCTAAGCTGTGAAACTACACTTTACACTTGAGATCCTCAATAATTACTCTCTTGAATAACTTCTTTATTTTGTTTTAAACTCCCACAAGGACATCACTACTCTACCTTTACCTAGTTTTTTTCAAGCCTCTCAGTGTCTTTTATAGACTTACCCAATTTTTTCAATCCCTTAGTAAAGGCCCTAACATAGTTCAGTGTCCTTTTGTAGTATTTATACATTTCTCCTATCTTTATATAACTTCTTTTTACTTCCTATGCTGCTCTAATTCTAGAATCTATTACGTGTTTTAGATTCTATTTTGCTTATCTACCTCCTGGAGTGTATCCAACTTATAAAAATCTATTAAAATATTTTTATGACATCAACAAATTTAGGCTACAGGATGCATTAGATGAGGATATTTTTCTCCAAGTTGCTTTCACATCACTTGCAAGGTAACTTGTCAAAACAAATACTTTACCACACCTTTTTTCTGTAAGACATTCTATATGCCATACATGGTGGTTCTATTTTCAATGCTCTAGAAATACAGAAGGTGGCTGAAGAGTCATTATCATGGAGTCCACGGTTCCTTCCCTCTGTGTGAGTGATCAACCACCCATCAGTAAGTCCTACAAAAGATCCTCTTTCTGGATGCTTCCATTGCCCAGGCACATCCTCACCATAAAGAGGTTTTCCACGTGCCTCCTGGACCCAGCTGATATGCACATGGAACCTGACCAGCATCCACTTTCAGGCACTCATCCCAGCATGCCAGGAGAACAGTGCTCTTTTTTTAACCCTTCTCATCTTCAAGTGTCGTCTTCTCTATGGTGTGTTTTGAATACATCTAAGAGGACTGTGGCCAGTTTGCATTTGTTGCTGGTGTGGTCCAATGAGGGTGCTATGGTTTCAGACACAGGAGCAGCAGGAATTAGGGAACTGGAGTGCTAGAAAGAGGTGCTGGTGCTCTCTCCATGATGCACCTTCTCTCATCATGAAGAATTGTTTGATGCAGCACAGGCGTCCATGCACGCGTAAGCGCTCAGCCGTCCTCGTCTCCATTAGACAGGCCGGTTTCCTCCGATGGCATCTGGAAGTCATGCTTCTTCTCCTTTGGAATAACCTGCAGTGGGGAAGGGCTTTATGTGCAGAAAGGAGGTTCCATTTTGCTAAGGAGAAAAAGGACGAAAGTATGGTTAGTACCTGTCTATTTTCTAGAGTTTCTCCTCCATGGCATGTAACTCTGATAATAGCCCCTCCACTTTTTCATTAAGTGGTGTCCCAGCTCTGAAGGTCCCACCTCAGGAGTAAGACTGGGAGTTCGACTTTGCCTCAGAGCACGGATTCACAATAATTCAAACATAATTTACATCCATTATGGAACTATGCCACTGGAGCTAAACGAAGCTATAGCATTCAGATTTTAGATAAACGTAAACTCTTACCTCTCAGCAAGGAGACATCTCTTTTTCCTTTGGTGAATCTCAAAGGGAAGGGCCACAAGGAGCTGAGTCCCAACTTCCTTCCAACTCCCAGGCCTTCACGCCTGCTCTTACTCCTGCCTCTCCTGACCACGCGAGGCAGTGAGCTCCTTGTTTTACAAACTCCACAGGTTCCAGTGAGCATCCAGTCCACCCAGACTTTAAGGCCTAGTTAGGAGGACTGGAACTTATCCTCCAACCTGTGGAGCAAAATTCAACAAGAAGAAGCCCACAGGAATACATTGATTTTCCCATCCCTGCTCCCTCTCAGTGACTGGCCGCCTGCCCTGAAGGCACAAACGCAGGCAGCCAGAACATCTGAGAGAAGGGCCTGGCTCTGCGCATGACTCCAAGCCACCCAGCACCATGGGCCGTCAGGAGGTAGGGTTCTACATTATTTTCAGATAGGATTTAGAGGAGGCACAATACAGCTTCCAATATTTGAACAAGAAACCTTAAACAGCTTATTTTATGCTTAAATCAAACAATTTCTCGATCCAAAAGATGTCCATCTTTCAACCACTTTCCGTCATTTTCTGGGCCTCCAGCCTCTGGGGACTCCTCAGAAATGAAAAGGTTATATGGCAGCACTGATGCCTGTGGTTCTGACCTTCAGAAGCCGTTCATAGCTGGAGAAAGGGAAGAATGGGTGAAGTTGTAAGACAGGGGAAGCTGTCAGGGTTTGATGTGGATGCCCACAGGCCTAGACAATGAAATGCTCTGGGAGGTGTGCAAACAGCTCTCACTTCTGGGAGCCAAGTCTGGGCCAGAGGATATCATCGATGCTTTTGGTAAGGTGCATGAGGCCACCTGAGACTCAGCACGTGTTTCTGTGCTATAGATGCAAATCTGTCTCTACCCTGACCTGGGATAAAGCGTAAATTGGGAGCCAAAGGGAAGGAAGAAAGAAGAAAGAGCAGTGCTGAGAAGGGAGCATCACCCTGGGGGCAGAGGACGAGCTGGCAAAGTGGTCTCAGATCATATGTTATTAAGTACAATTTACAGTTTATTGGAATTCCAATTATTACGATCTATTTCCCTCCCAAAGGAATTTCTAGAGCCATCCAAAAGTACTAACAATAATATATGGTGTTTGTTGAGTCCTAGTAAATGGGTCTAATTCCTCACAATGATTGTAAATATGAGCATTTGCCACAAGTGCAATAATCACTCTGTAACATCTAAGGGTCAAATTTACTTGAAGTCCAGCTTTGTCCAGTATCTGCTACTTCGTTTGTTGTGGGGAGGTGCTTATGATTCTTTTGGTGGTAAAATACACACAACATAAAATTTAGCATTTTAACCCGTTTTAAGTGAACACTTCGGAGCCATTAAGTACATTCACATAGTTGTGCATCCTTGGGAAGATGAACTTTTTCATCTTCCCAAACCAAAACCTGCATTACTTTTCCCACAGTCTGTGAGCCACCCCAAAGAATGAAGACTCCACCTGTCTCCTGGGAAAGACTCTAAAATGTAATAATATATAGCATTCTAAGATTCACAAAATGTTCTTCCTCAGTGTTCACATAAACCTCAGATGCCTTTTGTAAAAGAGAGACCTATCCTGGCCGGTGTGGGTCAGTAGTTAGAGCATCAGCCCACGCACCGAAGGGTTGAGGGTTCGATCCCCAGTCAAGGACATGTACCTGGGTTGGGGTTCACTCTCTGACCCCAGTTGGGACACATGCAGGAGGCAACTAGTCAATGTGTCTCATATCAATCAATCACTATCTCTCCTTCTCTCTCCTCCCTCTCTTCCAACTCTCTCTGTAAAGCAATGAAAAAATATCATGTGAGGATTACCAAAAAAAAAAAAGGGAGAAGATCAAAGCTCAGAAATGAGACAGACTTGCTCAAACAGAACAATGACCATGGGTGTGACTGGGGGAGGCCTGCAGTGTGCACCCCTTTGCACCTCTCCATCTCAGCACTGAGAAGGAGGAAGAACGTCCTCCAAGGGCAGAGCTGCCTCTTGTCCACCCTCTGCTTTGTGGTATTCTCACTGCTTCGGAGAAAAACAGCCAGAACTCCCAGTGGCCCAGTCACTGCAAAAGCCGGGGGGGGGGGGGGGGGGGGGGGTAGTTCAGCACCATCTCCCCTCTCCTTCTTACTTGTATCAAAGCAAACCAATGCCCCAAGTTCGCCATAACACGTTCCCCATCCCCCTCTCCCTGCCCTCTTCCCAAGCACACCATCCTCTATTTCTGATGACCACTTTAGCCATATTTCTTCTGCATAAAAATGGTAACAAACTGATTTATCTTTCCTGAGCCTTGTAGGATGACGCTACCCACAATTTCCCACCATGCCCCACATACTTCATGGGCCAGCCACCTCCATCCAGATGACCAGGAGCTTCCAAGAGTCAATTTGCCCTTGGTAGTTCTTTGCAAAACTGCATCACAAATGACAAGTGCAAACTTCTTATCACAATTAGATAGTAAGGTTGCAGTACTAAAAACACAGAGAGACACAGTCATCCACGCATTAGATCCCCTAAATTTCTGATATATATATATATCAGAAATTATACACTATATTCATTCATCCACAACAAGTGGATGGCTTAAAACAATAGAAATTTATTCTCTCACAGTTCAGGCCAGAAGTCCCAAATCAAGGCGTCAGACCTACGGCTATAGGAGAGAGCGCTTCCTCGCCTCATCCCAGCTTCTGGTGCCCCCTGGAAACCCTTGGCATTCCTAGGCTCCTCGCGACATCTCTAAGAGTCCTCTGCTCTTCTCATAAGGACACCACTCATTGGATTTAGAGCCCATTCCAATTCACTATGACCTCACCTCACCTCAACTAATTATATCTACAAAGACACTATTTCCAAATAAGGTCACAGTTTGAGGTTTCAGATAGACATGAACTTTCAGAGGATACTTAACCCATACACTCACCTTCCATCTCCAAGGTGTGTTATATCCAATGTCTTGTTTTCCTTGCTTGTTTATTTGTTTTGTTTTTGCCTCTAGCATCTGTTCCATTTCAATCCTGCTCTTGACCACTGCCTTGTTGGAAATCTTTCTGAAGCATCTGCCTTCATCCTCCCCCATCCCTTTAAACATCTCCAGACTACACTATAAAGTGGGTGTATGAACACCAGGCCAAGAAAGACATAATACTAAGTTGTCCAGAGAGGGCTCATTATTTCAAGTGCCCATCACTGCCCATTCACCCAAGAAGCAGTGTGTGCATCTCACATTCTGCCTTGCACTGGAGGCTACAGGAATTCCCATCTCCAGGGGCTTGGCAGACATTAGATAAATGGACTACTGCATAGCAAGATAAGAAGAGAAGGCAGAGCCAGTTACTGAAAGAGGGACTGGATTTGAGCAGGTGGCAGAGCAGAACATAGGAACAACCTGGGAAGAGGCATGGAGGTTCAGATAAGCCTGGAATCCTCAGGGGACTGTGAGCAGACTTCATCTGACCAGACTGCGGGCTCTGCTGCAGAGGGTATGATCAGTGACGGTTGTAAAAGCAACTGTTTGTGGATGTGAACCTGATTGTGCAGGGCCTTGAGTCCAGGCCAAAAGGATCCATTAAGGGTTTCTAAGCAATTGTGAAGTTTGACTAAGTGGTGTTCAGGGAAGCCAGATCTAGTTGGGTGTGCGTGATGGACTGGAGGGGAGTAGGGAACTGGCAAGGAAGCCCTGGCTAGCAGCCCAGTTAAAAAGACAGACTCCATGGCCAGAGCTTTATTCCTCCACTATCAGTGAATCCCCATCCATTGCCATAACCTTCCTCCAGACACTGCAATCAATACAGCCATCCCGACACAGTGGGGCCTCCAGCCCTCCCTTCCCATTAGCGTGATGAGTTGCAGAGGGCATGTCAGGGAGAGCTTTCAGTGAATTCCAGGAATGGAGATCCCCTTCAGACAAAAAATCCCCAAAGAGGAGCTCGGAAGTGCTTTGCAAATCAACACATGAATGCTTCTTATGGGCAAGGGCTTGTCCAAAGAGGGCAGAACCACCATCTTAGCTCAGATGCAGCTTCATCCCACTGCCATGGTCCCCTAGGAGTGGCACTGGCATCCAGGAGGCAGCAAAGAGGCCCCAGCTCAGGCACTGCTTTGCACTGGAGGCCACCAGACAGGTGATTAGCATCTCCCCATTACTGGAACTTCTTGGGAAGGGCAGGTGCTCTCTCCCATAAGGCTCTGTCAGGGTCCTGGGTCCTTCCAGTCATCAGACACAAACTCAGGGTGAAACAGCACTTTCTCCATCTTCCTCATTCACCCCAAAACTCCTTTGCTTGGGAACTTAAGGAGCAGAGGGAGGGGTGGGAAAATACACTGGGGACAGGAGCAGGTTGAGAGTGTGGTGGGAAAAATAATTTCTGAAATCCACAAGGCACATCTTTGAGCCTCTTTTCTTGCATTAGGCCTTCCTAGACAAACATGAGCAGAAGAAGGGGAGCTCCAAGGAGCAGGAGCACGGCTGGCTCCTTTGCTTTCTCTTCTCCTTAAGAAAAGATTTGTACACCATCACAGAAGCTCTGATAGCTCCACAACCATAGCCGCCCTTGCCTAGCTGTGGACCAGCCCAGAGCAACAGGGCTCAGGAAAGAGCCTGAGGCAGGCGCACCCTCAGGGTTAAGGGGTCTGCATGGAATTTACTGAATGCAGCCAAGACAAAGGGGAGAAAAGGCACACTCTTCACTTCCTCCTCTATTGGACTGAAAGTCCAAGCTTCGCTAGAAATAGATGGTACACAGGACAGCAGTCCACAAGGAAAATGACCCTCCTTCAGATGTTTTCCTATTTTTATTATTTTTATTGATTTGAGAGAGAGAGGGGGGAAAAAACATCAATTTCTGTTGTCCCACTTACTAGTATTTATGCATCCATTGGTTGACTCTTGTATGTGCCCTGATCTGGGATCAAACCTGCAACCTTGCCATATCAGGGTGATGCTCTCTCTCCTCAACTGAGCTACCCGGCCAGGGCCTATTTTCCCATTTTTAGCAGTCAATCTAATTTGAAAGACGTAACAACTTCCACCTCCTTTATTTCTGAAGGGAGATGTGAACGGCCGATCTGTTTGAACTAAAATTAAACTCCCTCTGTGTTTAACTTCTTGGTGGGATTCGTATATTGAATCTGACTCACACTTTTGATGTGGAAAGGTTTTATTAACATAACTACTTCTCCCAGCCCACCCCCATTGGGATTCATGGCACTTGCCCAAGGTACATTTGGGCTATTTCAATGTTACCTTAAATGCTGGCATGGATTAATGTTGCATGACAAGCACATTCACGGATTCTAAGAGAAGTTCCTGGCTGTCTTTGGGTAACAATTATGAAGCAAAATTGGCAGTGAGAAGAAGGCTTGTTTAGACAAGCAAAGACCCCCCGGCTTGGGGAATCTGGACACCCAGGATCTTATCACACCACTATCTGTGTGATCCAGTCACTTGCTTCTTCAGGGTCTTGGAACTCTCATCTGTAAAATGAGATTGATAGTCTCACACAGTTCTCAATTCTCTTTCAGCTCTGACTTCCTGTGATTGTAAAAGACATTTAAAAATATCTCCAGGGAGAGAAATTTCACAATATTATTTAGCCATGAGAAGACTGGACTAATGATATCTAATATCTCTGAGTTCTGAAAGTCTGTTATTCTATTATATATACAATGGTTTTATAATGTGCAAAGATTAATTTTAAATTTTTTAAACAAACAAAACAGAGGAGTCTTTTTTAAATGCCAATTTTAAAAGAACAGATGTTTTAAAAAAGCTAAAAAAAAATATCTCTAGCCATCCTGTGTACACACAGAAAAAAAAGGTGGATGAGATCAAAGCTATACAACATCTGGGGAAGCACAGACTTGTGGTAACCAGGACTCTTTGCTGATTGAAATAAGACATGACAATTATGGGGACATTATACCATAATCCTACCTCTACATAACTGTTATACACCATTTGCCATTACGCAGGGGGAACCCTAGGATCCCAATATGTGGATGGCATTGAGTGAAAAAGATTAATTATCTCTTGAAAAGGAAACCACTCTGTCCCCAGTTCAATGACAGACCCTGGGGCAGCAGAACAGCATCTCCCGATACTTAAGAACTTGGGAAGGGCAATCAGAGTTTCAGCAGCTGCCCAGATTGGATGTTACTATGCAAAACCTTCCATCACATAGATTAGCTCAAGTCACAATGGAGGTACGAAGGAGGGTACAATAAATGGACGGGCAGGTGAGATTTATCACCAAATGCCCAGCTAGGTCTAACCGTGACAGGGAACAGGGAGGGGCCAGAGCTGAGGTCCCCTGATCAAGCATCAATAAGATTTTTGTCAGGCCTCAAGTTTAAGTTGAGACAATCATTGTACACAATCAGAAGTAAACTAAGCCCCTTAAGGGCTAGGAATAGATTTTGAATGCTGATATACAGCAGGTGTTCAATTGTATTTGGTGACCAAATGGAAACATAAAGAAGCTATTGCTTCGTTGTGTGTTGAACAATGTCTTCCATCCATAGCAGCTCGGACTTCTAGGTCAGCCCTAAGAGAGGGGTACAGGGGTGTGGGGTGACTCTCCAAACTTAATGATGCTGGAACCAGGTCCCTGTACCCTGGAAGGGGGGATTCCATTTCATTGACCACCTGGGTATCACTGATGGAAAGGAGCTGCTCAGAATGGGCAGGGGATCTACCAGAGACCCTATGGCCTCCATAGTTGATGTTGGGTGGGGCACTTAGAAAAGGGGTGCTCATCCATCTGAGGAACCACCCCTTAGCAGCACCTTAGCTGCCTCAGGATCTAGAAAGCCTGAAAGGTTTCAGGCTGCTGGAAGTAGATAGACACAAACAAAGGGGCCTTCACAGAGTAATTAAAATAAGCAAGCAATTAAAGGCTCCGGGTGTTTAATTCCTGAGCACGCAGATCAGGCAGATGTAATGGACTCAAAGCATAGGCACTAGTTGATCCTGTTTTCAGAGAAAGCAATCCCTTATTATGAGGAGAATTGCTATCAGATAAAGTAACAACCATTTTAAGTTGACTCTTGTGAGAAATTGTATTTAATTTGAAGCTAGGTATTGCATTCCTTTAAATCTCATTTCTTATGGTATACTAGAGGCCTGATGCAAGAGTAGGCCTTCCTTCCGCCAGCTGCCAGCACTGGCTTCCCTCCGGCACCAGGGACCCGGGCTTCCCTCACAGCCCCGACTTCATCGGGAAGGTCGTCTCTAGAAGGACATCCAGTCTAATTAGCATATTATGCTTTTATTGTTATAGATAATTTTTTATGTTATCTTCTACCAGAGAGGACAGTTAACCAATGCATACTATGATTCTACTAATGCTATTTTATTTGGAGAAGCATATCTAAATACCATCTTTGAGCCAATGGGTTTTCTATCTGGAAACTTTTCTGGACCATTGATCTTGCCCTAGCTTCCCTTACTCATCCATACCTATGCCAAGAGTCTAGCTAGCCACTTATTCAATACAATCAAACTCAAAGTAGCACTAATTACTTGGTGGCACCTCCAAATTTCAATGCTTAGAAACAGACCCACACATATATGGTCACTTGATTTATGACAAAGGTGAAAGCACTGTGCTGTGCAGAAAGGATGGTCTTTTCAACAAATGATTCTACATCAATTAGATGACAAAACAGAAAGGATGAAGAAGAATATTTCCTTTGCCATACACCAAAAGCACTTCCAACTGGATTCCTTACCTACATGTGAAAAGTAAAACAAGAAAGCTTTCTGTAAAACTAATTAGAGTAGACAATTTTTTCTACTGGAAACAAAAAGTACTAATTGTAAAAGAAAAAAACTTGATAGTTTGGACTACATTAAAATTAATAACATCAAAATGCATCAGAAAGAGCATGAAGAGTGAAGCCATAGACTGAAGGATATTCACAATACATTGACTCAACAGAGGGCCTATATCCAGAATATATAAAGAACTCCTACAATTCAAAAAGGTAAAGGCAGATGATTCAATAGCAAAACAACTAAAGATTCACTTTACAAAACAGGATATCCAGATGGTCAATAAACATAAAAAAGTTTTCTTGACTCCATAATCAGGAAAATGTAAACACAAAAACAAACAAACAAAAAACAAAAAAAACAACCCAAAATGTGGCACTATCACATACCTACCACAGAAGCTAACATGGAAAAGACAAATAATACCAAGTATTGCCAAAGACGTGGAGCAACTGGAAATCTCCTACCTGCTGGTGGAAACGTAAATTGTTACAACCACTTTGGAAAACCATTTGGCAGCATTTATTAAAGTTAAACATGCTCATGCTCCATAGCTTAGTAAATTACTCTCTTAGGTATATACACCAAAGACTGGATACATACACCCATCAACAGACTTATACAAAAGAGTTCATTGTAGCTTTATCGCAATAGCTCCAAACTGGAAACAACTCACATTCCTTATACAGTAAAATGGATCAACAAATTGTGATAGAAACAGTTGACTCTTGAACAACATGGGTTTGAACTGCACAAGTCCACTTATATGTGAATTTTTTTAAGTAAACACATGGAAAAGATTTTCTTAAGAACATTTTCTTTTCTCTCCCTTACTTTATTGTAAGAATATAGTGTATAATAAATAGAATATACAAAATATGCGTTATTTGTTTATGTTATCAGTAAGGCTGCCAATCAACAGTGGGCTATTAGAAGTTAAGCTTTTGGGGAATCAAAAGTTACATGCAAATTTTCAACTGCAGGAAAGGTCAGCACCCCTAATGTCATTGTTATTCAAGGGTCAACTGTATATACAATAGAATATTACATAACAATGGAAGTGACATATAATTGCTAACACAACATGGAATAATCTATCACATACAATGTTGAACAAGAGTACAGATACAAACTCTATGACTTTAAGATTCCATTTATATAAAGTTTCAAAACAAACAATCTAACATTATGGTGCTAGAAATCACCCCAGAGACTGCCTTAAGCGGAGAGACTACTTAATGGAAGGGGACACTGGGGGACAAGTGGTCTGGGATGTTGGTAATGTTGTTTCTTGATCTGTATACTGGTTCACTAGGTAAAAATTCATTGAGCTGTATACTTAAGATTTGTATGCTTTTCTGTATGTATGTGAATTTTCAGTAGAAAGTTTGTAATAAGAAAATAGAAACACAAAATAAATTTAAGGCATAAAGTCTATGTGAGGAAAAATAAATCCATGAAAACTGCCTTGCAAATCCAAACCTATTAAATGACAGCAACATTTATAGTTTCTACTTGTTCAGATTAGGGAACTTGCTGTTTTCATTTAGATATATGCCCCACTTTCAAAAAGAATGGGAAGCCACCGTCTTATTTATTGAACAAATACACACTAGAGGCTTTTTAGTGTTCATTGGAACCTTTCAGGACATTAAAATTGTTAAATTTTATTTGGTTTACTTTTATTTTCTTTCCCATGTTAATATATGGGCTTTTAAAAACTACAATTTTTCTTGGCTAACACCCTCTAATGAAGATTAACAACCCTAATATTTACATAACCAGCAAGCAAATATGCTGAGCAGAACACGGTCTGCCCAATCAGAATCACTGAAAGGCTCTCAGCCAGTGGCTATCGCTCAGGTCTAATAGCCTCATACTCATTGGAAGGGAAGACTGGGAGCAATTACCTCAACAATTCAAGCCAAGAAACACAGCTATGCTAGTCAAGAAAAGAGGGGCCACAGAGACAACCCTGCTCTAGTGAAACAGCCTGGCTGCCAGAAGGAGCTCATGTTTTCCTACCCTGATGTGTGTGCTGGCTTCTGGCCCTTCCAGAGGAAAGCTTTTCCAGGGCATGGGATCATTCTCTTTCAGGCACCAGACTTACATTTGTACAATGCCTATGGTTTGCAATGTTTCCTAGATTCTAATATCATCTGAGTCTCATGCTCACCCTAAGAAGAAGAAGAAGAAGAAGAAGAAGAAGAAGAAGAAGAAGAAGAAGAAGAAGAAGAGGAGGAGGAGGAGGAGGAGGAGGAGGAGGAGGAGGAGGAGGAGGAGGAGGAGGAGGAGGAGGAGGAGGAGGAGGAGGAGGAGGAGGAGGAGGAGGAGGAGGAGGGAGGAGGGAGGGAGGGAGGGAGGGAGGAGGAGGAGGAGGAGAGGTTATTACTATCTCCTTTTAGCTAGTGAGAAAACCTGAGGCTCAGCCAGCTAAGGGACTCAGTAAAGCCACAGGACTGGTAAACTGCACAGCAAGGACGAAGCACCCTCAGGCACAGTGCTGTCTCCTGCACGGCGAAGTCTCCCAGCTTCTCTCCAAGCCTGCTTATGCGAATGAAAACAAAACCCTAGACCTGAAAAAACTTAGGCTAGGATTATCAGACAGTGGACAGCAGGCAAGCTGGAAACTGTACCCTTAGCCTGAGGACAGTGTTCACACCTTCAGGATCATGCATGCTAGCACTCAGAGGAGAGTGGGGGCAGTGAGCCAGCTGTGGAGTATAGAGTGGTCAAATGGCTCAGTCTGACTACTACAGAAAGGTCAGCACTGGTGGAAACATGCTATCTGGGCAGGCTTTCCTGCAGACAGGGAACTGACACCTATGGGTTTGAAAATAAGA